GCTGATTCGTGAATGAAATCGGAGAATCCGTCTGGCTGCATGGCTCTGATCTGGAACAGTTGATCCTTGTCGTTTTTTGACAGATGTTGACGTGCTCGCATCAGGCTCAGCAGTTCACAACCCTAGCAGTTTCAAAGCACAAGTAGAACGCCAAGCCCGCCAAGCAATGAGAAGATGGTTCTGGCTGCTGTTGCCAGTGCACGTGCTTCCTTTGGAGTCTTGGTGTGAAGCATACGAATGCGTCATATGGAGTTTTTTGGCAACTGCGAAGTAGATCTGCTTCGCGGTTCGGGAGGTGGGGGCAATACGGTTGCCTTCGCATCCTGTGCTGCTCATAGTCGTCCACTGGCCATCAGAGTGGGGCTTGTGAAGCCAAGTAGATGAAGAAGCAGAAATCAATTGCGGGAAATCTAAGCCTTGCACTTGGTTTCGATACCTTTCAACTTTGGTTTTTTGCAGTTGCCCAGCTTTGAGGTCGGATTGCTACGGCTTCTTGCAACCGTCAGCTGGAGCCGCATCACATTAGGCGCAGCCCTTAGCTTCGCATCAGTTTCTTACACTGTGTGCACTTCCGTCGACCTAGTTGGCTTTGGTCTCTTGTCGTGCCAGGTCCTCAGCTGAGCAATGCAGGCACGCATCGTTTCACCTCGTACCGTAAACTGGGCACAGTTGTTTCATTGCAGCGTTGCTGATTTGCAGGGTTACGGAAGTGAACCGCCCTTCAAGCTACGGTGTTTTGGTCACGGGTCTTCATTTGCAAGCATGTTTTGGAATCCGAGAGGAGGACGCGCTGTGGAGTGGCAGTAGCGAAGCGGCGCGGCAGCAGCGAAGCAGCGCGGCAGCAGCGAGGCGGCGCGGTGCAGAGCTGGCAGCATGTAGCAGAGTGACGCGGAGCGGCGCGGAGCGGAGCAACGCGGCAGTGTAGAGGAGCGGCGCGGCAGTAGCAAAGCGGTGGGGGGGTATAGGAAAGCAGCAGCTGAGCGAGGCGGCCGCAGCAGAGCGACGCGGTGCGGCAGCAGGCGCGGCAGTAGCGGAGGAGCAGTGCAGCAGATCGGCGCGGCAGTGCAACCGTGTAGCAGAGCGGCGCGGCAATTACGACGCAGTAGTCGTGGAGTGGTGAGACGGTGGCGCGGCAGGCGGCAGCAGCGGAGGGGAGCCGCTTTAGCCACCGCCGAGACAGCAGCCAACGGGGAATGCCACAGGAGTGCATCCAGCAGATCGCCGGTCATGGCAGCGTGGGGGGGTCCGACGGGCGAGACCGCCGTGCTGCTGGACGCCAACAACCAGGCTGGCCCTGGACCAAACCATCTCGGCGGGCTCTGCCAACTTCTTCATCGAGGCCAACACCGGCCGGGGCAGCGACGGGGAGCTTCTACGGTTTCCAGAACTCGTCCGACGAGAACCTCAAGACGAACCTGCGCCCCGGCCGGCGGCCAGCGCACGAGGGCGGTGTTCTGGCAGGTCTGCACCTAAGATTGTCATTGCGTGCATACGTGTCTCGGACTTCCATATCGCCGTGCTGATTCGGGTAATTTCATGGAGAGTCTGGATCGAAGATGAAAACGGACAAGCAACGGCGTAGCTGGAAACGAAAAGCGGTCAGAAGCTGCTACGCGGAACGTGGGTTGACATGCATGACAAACCCGTTTCGTTCAATGCTCGGAAATATCACATGCTTGAAAAGCATCGCGGAAACATGTGGGCTCTTGCCGCATAGACGCCTCAAGAGTGCCTCAAGCATACAAACATGCTCACGAATCTCACGTCGCTGAACTATATGAACTCGGCTTCCCGTTCCGCCGCTCTAACAATTTTGCAGTATCGCGTAGTGACCGCGCAGTGACCGCGCAGTGACCGCGTAGTGACCGCGTAGTGACCGCGTAGTGACCGCGTAGTGACCGCGTTGTGACCGCGTTGTGACCGCGTTGTGACCGCGTAGTGACCATGTTGTGAGCGTGCAATGCCACGTAGAGACTCGGACATAGACTCAGTCTTTGTAGAGTCTTTTATGGTGAAGACTGCAGTCTTTGAGGAGTCTTTGTCGAGTCTTTAGCATCATTGCAGCCTTCTTACGTCATTATTGAATCATTGTTGAGTCATTATTGAGGCAATATTGAGTCATTATGGAGTCAATATTGAATCGTTTTTGGATCAAAAGGCTATTTTGGAGCGAAATTGAGCGATTTTCAGCCTCGAACATGCAGCTGTTTTTTCTCTACGATCAAAGAAGCTGCTTTGGAGCGAAATTGAGCGATTTTCAGCCTCGAACACGCAGCTGTTTTTTCTCTACCACCAAAGAAGCTGCTTTGGACCGAAATTGAGCGGTTTTCAGCCTCGAACCCGCAGCTTTTTTTTTTTAGGATCGAAGAAGCCGCTTTGGAGCGAAATTGAGCGATTTT